AGTAGTATCAAGGACAGGCCATGCAGCAGTATAGGATTAACTGAAAACAGTAACATGCTACACTACTCTAATGCAAGCAGTATAGAGTAGAATAGGCGATATCTGGTGATCAAGGGGGGGGGGGCTTGCCTGGTTGCTCTGGCAAGAGAGAGGGGTCGTCAACTCCGTAGTCGAACTGGGCAGCAGCAGCGTCGGTCTCGTAGTCTACCGGAGAGAAGAGGGGGGAAGAAACAATGAATACCATGTAAACAGATGCATATCGATGCATGACAAGACAAGTAACGATGCCAGGCGTGCCCTAGCGTGGTATGAGGTGGTACCGATTAAGGGGGGAAACATTCGGGAAAATATCCCCGGTGTTTCGTGTTTTCGGGCAGAGGAGCCGGAGGGGGAAAGTTGCGGGTTCGATAGGTTAGGGGTGTGTGGCGGACGAATGGACGATGTAACCGGATTCGTCTCGTTGTTCTGAGCAACTTTCATGTTGAAAATATTTTAATCCGAGTTACGGATTAAAAGATATGATTTTCTAAAGATTTTATTAATTTCTAGAATTTAACTAATTATTTAATTTAACCCGAAAATGGAATTATGACATCAGCATTATGTCAGGGTGATGTCAGCAGTCAACTAGTCAGTTGACCTAGTCAAACTGACATGTGGGTCCCATTGTCATTGTCTGTTAACTAATTAACCATGTTAATTAGATTAATTAACAGATTAGTTAGATTAGTTATTTAATTAGGTTTATTAAACATAATTAATTAAGTTAATCAATTTAATTAATTAATTAATTTAATTAAATTAAATTATATTTTTATTAATATTAATATAATTTTATTATTTTTTATCTCCTTTTTTTTGTTCTGGGGGCTTGAGGCCCCACTTGTCATAGGCCCATAGGGGCCTAACGGATCGGGTGCGCCCGATCGGGTGGTTTTGGGCGCAGGCGAAAGGCCCGAACGGGCGCAGGGCGAAGCCCCCAGGGGTGCGGCGCGGGCGCACGGCGACCGTGGCCGGAGCAGCGGCACGGCGGGGCCGGGGCGGAGCCGAGGCCGAGAGGGCGCTCGCCCGCAGGGACGGCGAGGCCATGCCCGCGGCCGGTGACGGCCTCAGGGCGGGTGGTCGCCGGCAGGGTCGATGCGACCGAGCCGCGGCCAGCGAGAGGGGCCGGGAGGACAGGGGATGCGCGGT